CATGAGAGGCTTTTATTCAAGCTTCTCATTCATATCTTATCACCAAGATCAATGGATGGGCTTTTGACATCCTTCACTCCTTAAAACCTAGGTTTATAGTCATTTTACCTTAAAGCCCTTAGCTCAATATTTTATTTTCCATTAAGTCCAAATTCATGTTTACACTTATGCCCATGGTTTTTGAATAATATTTTAGAGTCAATACAAGGCAAGGATATGGATATAAAGGTAATATGGGACATCCACACATGTGAATAAAATATCTTATGACACCACTAATAGGATTTCAACAACACTAAAGTTTCACATGGGTCAAGCCCATAAGTTGATGCCACATAAGATATACCCACATGCTACAAAATCATATGTGGATAATAATATAAATCAAATTAATTATCAAAGAGTAATGATCCTATGAGACCCTCCCATCCATGTGTGTAGGACCTCAGAAGCACCATTAAATTTAGCACAGATCTCTAGAAAAGTCAAATCCCACACACATGTGATAACTTTTCTAGAGATCTATGCCAAATTTAATGGTGATCCTTTGGGGCCCTACACACATGAGTATAGGAGGGTCTCATAGGATCATTACTCATTATCAAAATCCGATGACTTCACACATGCCAAAAATGGCACATATGAGCAAAAAAAAACATATGATTTAAATCAAACTTAAGTCATAACAATACATAACACTTTGAATAACAAGATAACATGTTATAACAAATACCATCAAAAGAATTAATGGCAAATAGGTCCTCACATGGATATGACGTCAGCATGATGTCACCCGCGAGTGGGGAGGTGGGGGTGCCACGTGGCATCCCTATGGCCACTTGGGATCTATGTGGCATCCCCATAAGATGTCCTTGTTTGGTATTTAGGTCAAACAAATTTGAAAATCACATTTTTTATTGTTTAAAAATTCTGAAAAATTCCAAAAATTCTCCAAATGACTTTTCAACATTATTACACAAACTCTCATCAATATAAAATCTTTTATCATCAATTGTAGATTAATTTGGGCCAAAGGTAAATGACACTAGTCGGAGTCTTCTATTTGGCTAACCCGAATGACGTTCCATCAGTGTTTCAAGCCGACCCAACGGACCTATGCTCCACAGTCTATGGCAGGGATATATAATTGGTCACATCAAAGTCGCTGAGACAGAGCTTTCCGTCACCGGAGGTTCAATGGATTACTGGTGCACCCCTGTGGGACATGTTCCTACTCAAATATAGGGGTCCTCTCAAAGCACATGTGCACTAGCTCTTCTCAGTCGGATAATACTACAGAAGAGTGGTTTCTCCATACGATTATGGGTGCATATGCCATAAAACGGTCTTGTATCAAGATACAGGCTCGTCCCATGAGACCATTCCATACAAGGCGAATACTATTTTAAATACTCGGGTTCTATTATTCTCGATTGGATTCTTCAAGCCTTGGATTATCACATCAATTATAAGGCATTCTAATCAAGATAGTCCCGACTTGGAGGTAACTCTCACACCTCCCCGAGAGTTCACACTCTCAGATGTATACTCTCAAGGCCCCAAATACTCGGGGTATAAGAATATGGGCTCTAGTGCGCCAAACACCCAGATTCAGTCTCTCTCTAACTCCCACTGAGCGTAAGACTCTCGGCTTTAAGGCCTTGAAAGGCCACATAACCCATAGGAACTAGTGATTTTCTTGGGCTCGAACAACCTTGTCTTGAAGCACTATTCCTACTCGGACTTCCACCAGAATTGGGAGAACCTGCTGCAGGAGCCACTCTTTTCCCTTTATCCAAGTCTATCAGGATGGTGGACTCTACCACAGCTGAGACCCTCGCACTCCTTGAGGCCTTAGGAACCTAGACCCTAGTTGGGCACCTCACTTTTGGGGGCGACTCCATTAATGCCATCACCTGGGCATCTGGTGTGGCCCTTTGCCTTTGGAGACTGGCTCATTTCTTCGAAGAAATAGAGCATAGATGAAGGAGCTTTCAAGTTTCTTGGAAGCATGTTTGGCATGAGGCGAATTCTGTAGCCGATGCACTATTTAAGAGAAGGGGCAAGCCTTCACTAGTGCACCTTCCAGTACCTGTTGCACTCTTGGAGCTATTTTTTTTGAGTAAGCTGACTATTGTATTAATAATGTAAGTTAGTACATGATGTTGATAGATACAAAATTAGGTAATCCCCATTACTGGGTGCCCTATACAAAACCCTAAAGGGTTCAGTGAAGCTTTACATCAGCATCAAGAAAGGAAAGAGGAGAGGTCTCGGGAGTAGTCTAAGTCCTCTAGGGTGGGTTGAGGATGGCTCCCTCCCTAGCTAGCGCATCTGTGTTGGCGTTGGCCTCCCTATGTGTGTGTCTCCAAGAGACTTGGATAAAGGTACATAGATGAGTGATTTCGGCAAAAATGTGGTCCAATTTCCACAGAGAGCCGTATGCCCAAGGGAGTGTTTCGACTGCTAATTGGGTTCTCCAATTGTGGCCAAATCTTCTAAGACCCTCACGCAAGGCCAGGGCCTCTGCATTGGTAGAGTCTGACACTCCAATGGGCAACGCAAACAATAAGTTAATTCGACCATCAGAATTCGTAAAGAGGCCTCCAATGCCGGAGGGACCTGGGTTGCCGAGGGAGCACCCATCGAAATTTAACAGTGAATATTTTTAGGGCTTGAAATGTTGTATAGTTTTTGTGTTTTGTACTCAACAGTGTATAACCCATCCAAAGTGGGTCTCTTGCCGTGTCTAGGGGAAGAGCCATTTTTTGTACATGTATGATACAAGTAAACACATTAAAAATATAAAAAAAAGGATTATGGGGAAGAAGATCCAGTGCATAAATATATTAGAGAGCACAAATCTAGAATATGGTTCAACTTCCAGACTAATAATTTCCTCAAATCATTTTTCTTTTAACATGTTGACTTTGTATTAAGTTCAGAGAATGTACACGATACAAAAATTGGCTACCCACATCTTGGGAGGTCAAAAAATGCTATACAAGCATAATTTCCTCGAATCATTTATTTCAAATTTTCTGTTTTTCCTGATATGAGTGGCCTATTTGCTGCTCTTTGATAATAATTATATCGAGAAAGAATAAAACGCTGGCATAATCTTTTGCAAAAGAGAGAATTATCTGCTACATTTTTCGTATATTGTCTCTCCTTAAGAACATTCCAGAAATTGTTAACCATGCCAATAGCAAAAATATTTCGGCCCAGGAATAGCTTGCTAGTTTTTATACATATGATGGAAAGTTTACATCCATTTGTTCTGTACGGCCTAGCAAAGATTATTCTGATAATCTTTGATTCAGCCTCTAGTTTTAATATTTTGTTATGATCTATCCTATGTAATTCGGCATTGTTCTCCTGAATCTGGACTCAAATGGTTCTATGTTGGCATCTAATTTAGCTTCCACCCTTAGCAATACTCGACTAGTATATTATGTGTCAAGGGCAAGTTTACGAAATGCAGTTTTTGGGTAGGATGAGTGTTTTTGAATTCATGAAATCCATCCAATTATGTACTAGACCTATTTAATTTCTGATGAGATTAGCAATTGATTTAAGGAAAAAGTTTATATTAAGGATGCAACCTTATAATGTAGAACTACGGAAGCACCTAAAAAATCCATCGGAAAATGTAGTTTTAATGTTGAAAAACCCTTTGATTGATCATCTCAACATCGAAATCTATGACCATGAAAAATAAAAAGATTTTAAGTATCATAAATAGTGCATTTTACCATATTATCTACTCTGTCCATGTTCAAGATTTTCATATGTTTATAAATCTACTTGATTTTAACCATTTTTGAAATTTAAACTTTTATAATTAGATATAAAAATAGATTTTGAGATAATCTTTAGAACATTTTACATCAAAATTGTATAACATGATAAAATTTGAAGGTGCACCTTACCTTTACAGGTACGGATGCATCTGTTTGCCAACTGCACCCTTGATTTAAAGGAGAAGGCCTATTTTGAATGGCTTTCTCAGAGGGATGGGAGGAGCTTGTTTGGTATGGATATATAAGTAGTACAATGCTAATGATAAATATAAATCATGATGCATCGATTAAGAACCAGGGGAAAGGTTTGTATGCTTCCCCTATCGATTAAGAACCAGGGGAAAGGTTTGTATGCTTCCCCTATAGCATAGAAGTTCTATTCTCCTCCTATCATCCAGCCGTTCAAGTTTGACCAAGAGAGCCCACTCACCATTTGATCTTAGATCTGAGGTCTCAAAGTATCACTTTTAGTTTTTTTTATATAGATTGTATGAATATGAAATTTGGTACGTGCCATCTTTTCATTAGGGTGCACTTATAAAAAATATTAAAAATATTTTTTCGATAAAATATAATGACCACAATACCTTTTGAAAAACTTTTAGGGGTATTTTGGTCATTTTATTATATTGAAAATATTTTTTTTATATTTTTCGCTAGTACGAGTTTAATAGAGAAATGGACGTCCAAAATTTGATGTCAAAATAGTTTATAGAAAAAAATTAAAAATAAAATAGTGTAGAGACGTGACATTGTGATTGGGACAATCTTAGCTCTCCATTCAAAATGGAGGGTTGGATAAAAGGGAGGATAGAACTTCTATGCTACAGGGGAAGCATAGAAAGCTTGCCGTAAGAACTGATGTAAACACTCTTGTTAGTTGAAACCAAACCCTTGACTCGCCATCAATGAGAGGTTGGTTATATAATATTTTAATGTGTAATCTGTTACATTTAACAGCATAATTTCCAAAACAATAGTTAAATAATTTTAATGACACTATGGAATTTTATGTTAACAAAAGTTAAATCCTTTTAATGACACTATGGAATTTTATGCTATATGCTACGTGGGGAAATACTTTTTTTTTGTTAGGTAGATTCTGTAGAGAATTCTGTATGTTAATAGATTCCAATCGGTTTCTTAGTGTTATTATTCATTTATCTTCACTAACGGATTCATTTATCTTCAATGCAGTGGAAGCACAATCGTAGGAATTGGTGATCCCGAACCCCCCCAATTCATCTATGATGAAGAGGATTACCAGGACGTTTTTGTATCCGGTAAGCTCATCCGATCATGCCTTCACCCGCATCTTCCGATCAATTTGGCTGCCTAGACTTCACCCACATCTTCCTTATCTTAAGTGCTCAATGATGCCCCTGTGTGTGTGCAGAAGCACGCTTTCTTACTCGGCCAGAGAAGCATTGGTACACCAAGCCCATTTCTTATACAGACGAATGCTATCAAGAAGGCGGCGAACACAAAAGGAAGAACTGAATCCCACGTTGAAAGAATGCAACACATCATTCACTTGGAGACCTTGAACTTGATATAAAAGATCCCTTTGCATGTTAGACTTTAGCCACTTGAATGATTCTCCAGGGGCTAAAATCCTTTAGCATGTTTGGTTCATGTCTTTGCTTATAGAAAACCCTTTTAAAAGTCTCAATTTTAGACTGGAGAACCCAAACACATGCATCTTTTTGTTAGACATGCAATTCATTCGTGAAGTCTACCCATCTTACTGTTCTCTCCCTTGTAGATGATGTAAGGAATTAAACAAGCTCAAACTTAACCAAATGTTCCTTTTTTTCGGTTTGCCGAGGCACAAGTAGAACCTGGGCACATGTTGTAGACAACATGACGAACCCACCATCCATTCCGAATGACGAACGGTGATGATCAAAATCTTTCCATCAAGAATTTCAATTAATCTGCACCGTACTTCATTGGGAAGGAAAGGCGGACACAGCCCCTGGTGCATGGCATGCTTACTCTCCCAAATTCCCACTGAGCCTAAGAAAACAGAATTAAAAAGATCAGGAGAGAGGGGATAAAACAACTGCTGAGACACAGATTTCCCAAACTTGCTCACTCTGGAAAACAGAAACATCAGCACCAGCACCAACAAACAATATAATTGTCTTTTCTTTTTCATCAAACACACTTTCCCTCCCCCATTCTGCTTTCTAAAGTGATGGTGAGCTCAAGAAAGGCCTAGGAAAGCTAAACAGGTCCTTTCCGGCAAAAGGATTCGTCCACTCTCTTGTGGCCTCCACCGAAGCACCTGCACTAGGGGGCCCCATGCCCCCAACTTCCTGCACCCCTGATGGCCCTAGGCCCACGCTTGCTCTGAACCCGGTCTTCGTCCAATCTGACCATGATATGTCATCACAAAGTTGGCTCCCCCAATCCGATGATGAGCGAGATCCCCTATAAAAAGGCCCTAACGAGCCCAGTGACTGGGGGAAAGAAGGTGAACCAGCCATGCTCCAATCTATGCTTGTATAGTCGCACTCACCCATCGATCCCATGCTCCAATCCCCATTCGAGTCAGGGTTTGAGCTCCCTAGAGCTGAGTTCCACCCATTGAACCCACCTTGTGAGCCCAAATCAAGACCCACCTGATCGGTAGGACCGAGCCCACTTGTCCCCCAACTGCTGGATCCTATTGGCTCAACCGGGCTAAGTGTGTACGGTTGCTGATACTGAGCTTGGTGAAACGGTCCACTCACAGGTCCTTGGTTTGCACTCAACCCGTTCAAGCTCACGCCCGAGCTCTTCTCGAGCCCAACCATACCACTTGGTGTCCATGCAGTTGCAGCTGGTGCAAGCCCACCTGACTGAGCCAAGTGGGATTTAGGGTTCGTAGGATGGGGTCGTTGCATCACGATCACTCGCTCCTTCAAAGCTAATGCCTGAGCCAAGTTGGTCTTACTAGGCTCTGTGGGCTGGAGGATCTTGGAGGGGTTAGTGGCTAAAGAGTATGGCAAAGGTGGCCCTGAGCTCACGCTAGGCCATGCACCCATGTTATTACCATTGGCGACTGGCTTCTTCTCGACTGAACCCACTTGAGCCCTAGACCACTCTTGTGGTGGCTTTACTTGAACCACCCTCCTCATGGGTTGAGGCTGAGAGCTTCTAGCACTAGGATCAGGCAATATTGTTTTGGTATAGTTGAAATCTACCCGCTCATCTCGTCTTTGAATTGACACCGCTGGCACCCTAGCTTGTTGGCTTCTTGACTGGCTTACAGCAGGTTGCACATGCCCTTGACCTGCTTGCTTTGAGGACTCCATGGTGGACTCCGGCTTTTGCGGAGGCATGGGTTCAAGTTGAGGTGTCGGCTTTTGCACCCTAAGTGTCTCAGCTGCCTTGTCAAGATCACCTTCACAAGCCACAACAGCTCGCTCTACCTCTTGCCTTGAGCACCCGAACCTCGTTTCCATATCGGACAGTCGTGCTAGCTCTTCCGATATATCAATTTTTAAGCGAGACCCATCTGCCTTTGTGGCCTCTTGACTCTCAACTTCACTACTACCCTCGAAGAGCCAAGCAACTGACTCCTCAACCCTCCCCTCATTTAGGATGAGGGCCATGGTAGCTCGCTCGTGAGAGAAGCCCATGGCCACAAGCTGCTGAGACAGGGCCTCGAGCCTCCTTGACATCAGGTAGCCAGTGCACCTCTCATGCAACTCTTGTGCCCTTCGTTCTCTCTGCCTTTGGTGCTTGCGCTCATTCTTTTGCCTTATTTTCTCTCTCTTCTCATTCGATGAACCAGGTGGTGCATCAGGCCTAGAGGGTGGACCATTGGGCTTGTTGCTGTTATCCTTTTGGTGGTCCTCTGATTCACCAGAGCAGCTGCTTGTCGAATGGTCTTCATACTCCGCTCCCGTGCACAGAGAGCTGGTGCCTGAGTGATCGTCAGGGTCTTCAATGGTTCGGAATCGGGGGTTGTGCATGGAGGAGTTGTGTGTCTGTGGAGGGGAAGAGGGGGATTCAAGGGTATGGAAGGTCCCGGAGAGGGGATTGTACGCATTGGAATGGGGGCCTACACCGCCCACAGCGGTGCTGGGGGGAACTGGCTTGGGCAAGGCCTTGTGCTCCTTGGCTACCTTTGTGGACGGCTTGTCCTTGCTCTTCGATCTTGAAGCTGGAGACATGGCTGGATGAACACTGAGTTTTCAAATTTCAAGTTATCTGTGCCTGCTGCAAATATAAAGGAGTTTGTTAGAGAACCTATGAAGTGTACTGCACACTTGTGCATGTGTATATGTATGAGAGAGAGAGAGAGAGAATGAGAGAGAGATTATCCTCGTACAATCCCTATGGGAATTTCAAGATTATGCTCATACAATCCCTATGGGAATTTCATGAGCAAGAAAGAGAGGTACTATGTTAATGCTCACACAATCACTATGGGGATCTGATACTTGAGGTGTATTTACTATGCCATGCAATATCTATGGAAATCTAGATCTGGAAGGGTGCAGAGTGAGGGTAATGTTTAGAAACCCTAACTGAAGAATGTGGGTGTCAGTGTGCCTATTCAGTAGAGTGGCATGCTTGAAAGCTCGATGGAGGTCTTCCAATGGATAAGCAATGAAAGAGCAAAAACTCTCTGCCTTGTACGTGTTGAAAAGATATTACCAGTTCCAATACATCAGGATCAAACTTCAACACCCATGGACTAACATTCAATTTTCTGACCATTTGGCCAATAAATGGCTTATATAATTCCTCCACCAATTTAAACACGGACAATCAACTATTAATACCCTGTGATCCTCAACAAGTGTTCATTTCATATATAATACCAACAGGCAATTAAATCAAGGGCAAAGCAATCCCACCCAGATTCCAAGCCCCCACAACAATTGAGTAATTAATTACCTCATCAACCTCTTTTGATTTAGTCTCACTTAGCAAAAGAAAATAGCATCCACTTCTTACCAAGTGCGCTGTCAAAAATAAATAAAGTAGTTCATCCACTTCTTACCAAGTGCGCTGTCAAAAATAAATACGGTAGTTCCCTCCCATTCATGGTTGGACTCTCCTTCCAAATCCTCAAGCCTTCAGGCTGCCTTCCTTTCTCCATCACAATCTCATTTCGATCACAACACAGTTCAAACCATCTCATATATAGCTTTACAGGCCACACCATTGCAAAAAACACCAATCAGGCCTCCAGATTCACGCGATTGCTCAAATCTCTTCTTGCATGACATGTAGCATTTTCCCCAAATTTGAACTAGATGGACAAGGTCCAACACAATCATTTTACTGCTATTTTAACCAGATTCAAGCATCATGGTGGAGTCCATGTAAATCCTTCTAGAAAGCTTTCGCCATGGAGGATATCCATCACTCCACTGCTCAGTCATGGTGGTTTTGGGGTGGAAACCTGAAACCATATATGTGAATCATATATTTGAGGTAAAAGGAACATGAGATCACCTTCTACTTCATTGTAGTATCCAACAGCAATCCACTCTATTGTTCAAGAGGATCTGGTGTCCTATGGATAATGTATAGTGCCATGGCTATCACCCAATCTAGCAAACCAAGCTTGGCTTCGCATTGGTCTTTCTTATCCTTTAAAAGGCAAGCTCCCAAGCCATGGTCTAGGGTACAATCACATAGAGGCAATGATATTATTATTTAAGGCTATAGCCGGAAGGCGCACCAAGTATAAGATAGTATACAAGAATCCACCATAGCTTGAGCCGCAATGCAATTGAATGTAAAAAAGCCGCAGTGCAAATGAATGTGAAAAAGTTTCACGAGTGATTGATTTACTAATTGACAACAAAGCAAACACCTTCACTAGATCCCACTTCTGAAAACTTCACATTTGTCGGATGCCTTTTAAATAATCTGAGTCCGATAGATGCAGATCACGGTTGCTCATACTTGATTCCTTTTTTCTAGGTCCACTGGGTGTCTGTTATCCCATGACAGTAGATGACGCAAGAGCTAGAGTGCTTGTTAGTAGTAGGCTTAGGCATTGATCCTTGAATTCCGTTACCACTTTCAAGACCTAATATGATTCTTCAGAAATTAACATGATAAAGCACTCCAAGGGAAGGCTCCTTGGAATGTGGCAGAAAAGATTGAGGACTTTCAGTGATTATATCATGCACCTTGACTCTCCTCATACCACATGATGGTAACAAGATGGCCGACTCACTTCGTAAGGTGTGAGGAGGTGGACTTGATGTATACTTCAGTTTTAAAACTCTCAGATGTTAACTCGATGTATTCCAATTTTTATTTCTAGTATTTGGGGTTTCATTAAAAAAATGCTTCTCGAGACATATAATTATGTAGAAAGGACAAAACTACAAAAGGGACTGGATGTCCCTGCCAAGTGCCCCTTAAGAACATATTCATACATTTGCTTCACAAAGGGAAAATGCCAAGAAGGCCACACACAATATGGGAAAAATACACTATCCACCAGACCTCCACAGTCCAAGTCAGAAGAGAAGAGAAATTTACTACCAAAAACCAATGCAGCTACAGTAATGAATGATGTGAGAGTCTCTTTTATTTTTATTTTTATTTTTGGAATAGTTGACTGTTTTTTTTTTTTGATGATTAAAGTGATAACATAATGTTAGAGTTGACAATTAAAGTGAAAAGAGAATGTTAAAGAGTTAAATTAACACTACAATACTATAACCACGGATGGAAGGGAAATCCCCAATAGAAATCAAGACAGTTGATGCATCTTCTCAGAACGACAGAAACATCAACAAATACACAAGGAGTAAAAGGAAACAGTAAAGGTATCTTGAAAATGGATGGCAGGAGTTAACAGAAGTTCAAGCAATCCCCATGAAGGAAAGGAAAACTCAGTTATTCTGCTTTAAAACACAGAGATGAACATAAGGCTCTCTTGAGAAGTGTTTTCAGAGAAAATTGAACACTTATATAAAGCCAACATATTACCAATATGTTTAGTTAACAACCAAGTAAAAAAAAACACATTATATAGAGAATGTCTACCATTATTCAATGGACTAAGAAAACTGTAGTTCATTAAGGTCCCCAGTCCAATGAATTGATAGAAAGCGTTAGACAAAGTGACAGATAATCAGGGTCAGGTACTATTCTAGCAGATCCTCCTTTCTCTCCATCACCACTTATCAGTTAATCGGATGGTGATGATCCAAACTGAACATAGTTTTCATAATCCAATGGAGTAAAATGTACTTTACCTTTACCAGTAATCACTTATATGAAGTAACTGCTAGCCCAAATATATTGGCACAAACCAGGAAACCATCTTCGCACCAAATAGAACTGGATTCAGCACCAATGTAATGTACTCATGTATTGTTGACCAAAACATTTTCAGAAAAAAAAAAAAAGGACAGATTTTGACAACTAAAAAATTGTGCAGATTGATGGAAAAAACCCATGACATGTTCGAAGGGAAATAAAAAGACAAACCAACAGAAACCAAAAATGTGTCACAGACTACAGGTAACATTAAATAGTAACCATGTCCTTCGTGGGGTATAGAAATGGATAAAATTCACTGATGACCTAGAACTTGATCATCTTGGTCGCTTATTGCCCGCTACAAAACAATACAGGACTCTTATCTCATTACATGAAATATAGCATCAAAGTAAATTTAAGCAATAACCAGAGTCAAAACATAGGTCAGATGCCAGTGAAGGAGACTTGACCAAGCCCATCCAAATACGGGCATAATGTTCTCCAAGATATTATTAACATCCTTTAAAATCTTAAACTGAAGTTTCAATTTTATCAATAGATGCAAAATTTAAGAATGCATAAATTAAAAAGACGGGCTCAAAAATCTCAAATTTGAAATAAATCTGTGATTATAAAAGGTGATGGAATTGGAGACATATTGCGCATCATTTAATACAAAGAATGCCGCATCATGATAACAAATACAAATGGAATGGAAACAATGATCTTTAAACAAGATTTATCTAGCATAATGCAATAACAAGTTACTAACAAGGATTCACTAGCTTCCATTAAACTGAATCACATCAAGATATCTCACTATTTCTTGTTTCAGATGGATCTCAAAATCATAGGAGTCTAATCTGAATGTGTAACCTACGGCACAGCTGAATTGTAAGTTAATAACGCAGAGAGGTATCAATTACTCATTGAAAGCCTAAATTTACACTCAATTTAAACAGAAAACAAACAATTACAACTATAGAAGCAGTTTATCTGTATATTCAGTTTGAAATGATAAATTATCTGTGAAAATATTCACACTACTACCCTCTGCATCTGCACGTTTTAAGCAAATTCCATCTTTCTTTTGGACTCCTAACACTATATGAGTGAAATTTTCCAAATTTCCAGAAAATAATGCCATCATTCAATCAACTAACTTCCCTTCACATCATAAAATAGCGCAATGCAAGAGTAATTCTCCAAATGGCACCTAAAACCAACAAAACTAGATCTCATTCAATGCATCCCACACCCTCCCAAAACCAGTCTCAATAAACCAACAAAACATACAGGCATCCACAAGAATCACACATTCCCCCGATACGATCATTTTGGTAACCCTTATAAACGCTCATAACAAATAAATATGCAATCCTAAATCAAAACCCCAAAAAACAACCCTAGAAAACTCTAAAAGAAACCTCGGCAAACCCCTGAAGAATTGTTCTTCTAGTATTGATAGATCAAGATTCATAAAAAACCCTAGGACGGATCAGTGGGCGCATAGAAAGACAAAGCACGGTAAACACCAAGAGGGCATCGAAACCCTAATCAAACGGGGAACAAGAAAGCTTCGAAGGAGAAAGGGACATTGAAACAGATCTGACATGGCCATGGAAGAAGGGACAACTGACCTGTTTGTTGAGAGACGACGATCTTTTTAGGGTTTCCTCGATGGCGATCCTAAACGAAGGGCTTTAATTTGCAGAAAAGATTAAAAATCGATGAATGCGTACCGTATATATATGCCCCCTTTCTCTCCTTTCCTTACATATGATGCGCCACGCCTGTCTCTTTCTCTCTCTATATCTACGCACTTTCTCTCTCTACGTGTTCCTCTCCCACTTCTTTCCCTCTCTCCTTTGCACTATCTTCGTTTTCTCTCGCTAGGCGTGACATTGGGTTATTCAGAATCGGATTTAAGAGATACTTGAGGTCCGATTATTTAAATATAAATAATAAAGGTCTTCTGAGTTCAAGAGCCCTTTTCCTACGTTGCTATTAAGACCAAAGTGGAAAAACTTCGTAATCCGGATTGGAACTCGTCGATTTAAACTAAAAATATATTGAAAAGATTCGGATTGGGTAAAATATAAGGAGTTGGCCAGTTCCGGCTTATATGTACCGATTCTTTGATAAGTTCCTGACAGACTTGGTTGATTCTGTCATAGAATTGATATGAATTGACTCCGTTTTTTTTTTTATTAATTATTGAATTGGGAGTTTCTTGTCGGTTCTAGCCAGTTTTGGTCGTTTCTTTTATAGAAAGTTCTGTCAGATAACCGGTCAAATTGGTCCTATATAATTTTTTAAAACAAAAATGTATCGCTCCTCTACCGAACCCCATACTTATTTATCTATAGACCTTCATCTTTGAATTTCTAAAAATACATGCTCTCTTTAAGTTAAGCCAATCTATCACCTCTCTCCTACATAAATATCTTTTAATAAACAATATACTTTAGAACATCTATTTTCCTTTTCTCTCTTTCTAAATAAAGCATATAATACTTTTCATTATCTCTAGACTATTGTTCGCAAAATCGCCCGATCTAATCGATAACCATCCGGTTAGATCGGAAACGGTGAGTGGCTGGCTCCAGTTTGGGCGGTTAGGGTGAACAACCAATATTTAAAAAAAGTAAAATTCAAAAAAATTTATATAAATTCTCAAAAATAAGGAATTTGATTTATAATGATTTTTTTAATATTCTTTACATTATGGTAAGGATTAAAATTTATTTTGGTCATTAATGCTCACTTTTATATTTTTCCAATCTTTTTTAGAAAACTTTAAAAATAACCATTGGAAAATATAAAATAACTTAAAATTTATTTTTTCCATTAATTTTCAACTTCATTTGAATGTGCTTTGTTTTAACCATTTTTTTTATGTTTTTCATATTTTAGTAGATTTTTTTTTTTTTCAATATTTTTTTGACCATCCGGGACTTGTCCAGTTAAAGCGGTTAAATGTTTAGTAATGTTATGCGTATATTATTAAATGTTTAATAATAAAACTTGCCTTCTATTTATCTACACACAGACCCGACCCAACCGAACAATTCGGGTCCCTATCCAACTGGACCCAATTGGATCAGATCCTGGTACGCGTTCAATCGAGTGTCGACCCATCCAATTTAGACCCCTACCTTAGAATCAGCAGTGTTTCAACCAAGGAACCCTGTAACCAAACAGTTCATAACATTGCTCTTATCAATTATTTTATAATGTGACATTTTTTATTCACGCAACAAGTGTCCTTTTAACTTCGTTTTTAATTGTCATTTGCCCTCTTGGTTTGGGTAGTATCATAAAATTTTTACATGTATTTAGTTTCTTTTAAAAATTTTTTTTATTAAGAACGTTTTCTCTTGAGATGTAAATCCAATTTACACATAACTATTATTTCATTATATATATATATAGAGAGAGAGAAGATCCTGTCAGCCCAACTGCTACAGTAAACACCAACAGCCCAGATCGAGCCTGGACCGATCTGATGATCCCGAATGTCTGGTAGTGTATGAATTTTAATATTTTTTTTTTATAAATCAGATTGATTTGAAATTTGGAGCGTGCGTACATAAAAAATAGATGAATCTTTGAAAAATATAAAACAAATATTTTATATGAAAAAAACTTACCAAAATACCTTTGTAAAGTTTTGGAGGTATTTTGGTCAATTTATTTTTTAAGGATTATTGTTTTTTTATTTTTATTAGGTGCGTCTTGATGAGAAGAATATACACCTAGATTTTCAAGTGATTTGAATTTATCAAAAAAAAAATTAAAATTCAAACACGAAAAGAAGTCGCGACCGTCAAATCGACCCAGATTCAATCTGAGCCATTGACGTTTACTGTAGCGATCAGCTAGTGGACGTACAAATTCCACTCTCATATATATATATATAAAAGAAAATGCTCGAGTACGCCCATTTGAGTATAGGTCTGGGGTACACCCCATGGTGTAGATTTAAAGAGGTGAAATGGATGGTTGAGAGAGCGTCCCATGGCATTCAAAAAAAAAAAAAATTTCCTAACTGACTGTCAAAAAGGTACGCCTATGGGCACTGACAAAAGGGTACACCTATGGCCTATCGCTTCGTTCTCTCTCTATCTTTGTTGATGAGCCAGGGCTCTCTCTCTCTATCTTTCCTGATGAACCAGGGCTTCGCTAATGAACCAAGACTCTCTCTCTCTCTATCTGTGCTGATGGACCAGGGCTCTCTCTCTCTATCCTCTGATGAACCATGGCTCTCTCTCTGTATCTTCACTGATGAACCAGAGCTCTCTCTCTCTATTCTCGCTGATGAACTAGGGCTCTCTCTCTCTATCTTCACTGATGAACCAGGGCTCTTTTTCTCTCTCTAACTTGGCTGAAGCACCGGGGCTCTCTCTCTGTTTTTGCTGGTGAACCAGGGCTCTCTCTCTGTTTTCAGCAGCCCCGTTATCAATCTCTCTCTAATTCAAAACATAGGGAAGCTATCTCTCTACAGATGACCATTTTCCTACCTCCTCGCATCCTCTCTCTCTCTCTCTCACGCCCATTTGCGCAACGCCCTCTCAGGCATCCTCTCTCTCTCACGTGAATGCCACGGGTGGAGTGGCTCCTCCTCGCATCCTCTCTCTCACGCCATTTTCCATAGATGCAGTCCTCTCACTATCTACAGAAGACCATTCCACAAGTACATTTTCCACCTCTGTTTTAGCCATTTAGGATTCGGAGAGGACCCATTAAACATTTCACAGTTTAGGATAACCAATTTTTCTGGTTTTTTTTTGTTGAGTTTCTCTCTGAAGAGTAGGAGTACCAAATTTTTTTGGTTTTTTTCGTTGAGTTTTTCTATCCAATGTTGATTGGGGTGGTAGCATGAAGACCATTTTAACAGTCTTGTGCACGAATTCTGCCCTGTGTTAAAGACACACTAGTTCAATATGTGGTTTTAATTAGAGAACTCATTGATTCATGGCTTCTTGGTAGTGTAGTAACTCTGGGTTGCCACGACCTCTATTAGGATGAGGCAAAATCCTAAAGTAGGGTTTCTCCTTTTACTGTATTTTTATTTCCATGGTTCCACTTATTGACTGGTTTAATTATTTTGCTTGTGTAGATGAAGTCAATAAATATTTTCATATTTAGGTTTGTATTTGCAATTTGTCATGATCTTTGCATTTTTAATATACTCTGTTCATTGAGATATTTGCAATATGTTAAGATGTGCTTGAAGTACATAGTTATTTAGTCATTCACAATGTGATTCTAATGCAATTGTTGTAGGCCATACCAATGTCATCTCATTCTACAAGTAATCTAGGATATACAACTCGACAATGCCCTAAATGTAGTATAGATTGTGCTACGAAATCATCGACAAGCCAAAAAAAACCCAGTAGGATGTACTATAAGTGTCCATTATGTAGTTTCTTCCAATGGCATGATGAATATATTACCGCCGTGTAAAATGTCAATATAAGGCATCGCAATACACAACAGTGGAATCCAATGAATGAATTAGAAGAACGTGTATTGGTCAAACAAGAAAGAAGTGTTGATCATAATGCGATAATCAGTACTATAGGGTGTTTGCAAGAATTCTTACTTGGTGCCTTTGGGTGTTTGCAATAATTTTTATATTTTTTGTGTATAATAAATATGTGCTTGCTTGTGCTCATTTTTTAAAATTTTGTAGTTTTTATTGCGAAACATGTGATAATTTTTTGATATTACCTTTTTACTAAGGTAATTATTCCTATTGTAGAATTCAAGTCGTCTTAAATGCTTTGACTTTTTCAATATCCATACAAGTCTCTCTCTCTTGTGTTAGAATTTTCTTGTTGGGCAAGAACCTGAAAGGTATGCATGTAATACTTTTGACTTCATGGTGAACAAGTCTCTCTCTCTTAGTGTTGAGTTTCCTTTCTTTGAAAACATAATAATGAAACTAATAACACGAGGAAGTGTAAATTCCTAATTTGAACTACATTTTCTAACAGGGATTGCAGGTTGAATGTTTAAGGTTCATGTATCGTATAGACCTTGCCAATTATAAACTATTTGGCTTGTAATTTTGGAAGAATGCAAGTCTCAACAAGGCCATCCAAATAAAGATAAAAAGGTATGTAATATCCAAATTGGTTAAAAATAATTTACATTTAATCTTTATGTATTTTTCAGTCCATAAGCTCCTAATTCAACATGGGTCGTTCTATAGCCTTTTGGTTAAAAAAAGTTACTCCCACAAATGAATATAATAAGTGTGTGTGTAGCATGCTCTATCAAGATCATTGTACTTATACTCCGCCAAGCAAAAAACCTTGTATGAAATAAATGACTTTGATTATAATATGTTACTTATCAAAAGTAACCAGGCTGGGATGCAAATGCTGAAGTGAATATTTTGAAACGATAAAATAGAACAAATTGATTGTAAACCAAAATCCATGCATATTAACAAACAACCCTCTGACTGTTTTGAAACCTCCCGTAGCGTAAAAAACTCCAAGAAATAAAAGCAATAAAAGAATAAAAATAGAAGGAAAAAAAGAAAAAGAAAAAAACCATCAAAGAAGAAAGACAAAAAGTCAAACCTATGAGGACAAACTTAGAAATACCTCCCTGCTGCCACAACACAAATCCACAGGGATTTACATAAGTCCAAAACAAATCCAGTCAAAATAACCAGCCCCCAAACAATAACTGATAAAATGCTGCAGCACAATGTGCAAAAGCAATCCAGAAATCTCAAGGAGCATCAAACAATACCATTTTGTGCCCCCATTATTGCATCCACTAAGAGCATCACATAGAACCTAATGGCAAACAATTTCAACAAGAACTGAGCAAATACTCATAAAAGCAAGC